ATATATATATATATATATATATATATATATATATATATATATATATATATTAACATGCTTTCACTTTGTTTTAGCAGGGTCGTAATGGGCCCCTGGGCATTAAGGGGGATAATGCCCTAGAACTAGCCAATCGGAGCGCGCGTTATATTGACTTCAAACACAAGCCATATACTAATGCAAGGTAATCTATTGATTTAAACTTAAAAGTATTATTTTAACCTACTTTTTCATTGTGATGTAAGGTGTTGAACTGATAATAACTTATTTATTCATTTATTTGTTTATTTATTTTCATGTGAATGTTATAACAAAACAACAACAACAACAAAAAAAAGACAAAAGAAAAAAAAAATGCGCAGGGAGACGGGCATGAAACAAAACCCCAACAACTACGCTAACAGCAATATTTTTTTGTGCATAATGACCAAATGGGTTCGCCAACATCGGAGAAAGCATCGACAGTCAAGCCAACTTCAGGCAAAGCCAAGGGACTGGTCAAAAAGTATTGGGGTGGGGAGGGGGGGAAGGGTGAGTGGAAGCAGAGAGGAGGTGGCTCACCAGTTTTTGAGCACTTGGTAAGGGTTGGGTCGTTCAATTTTCACTTACCCGTGGTTGTGGTCGTCCTATTTTGTAACAGGGACTGGCAGAAATAATTAGATAATCAATTAGACAATCAAAGTCCTGATACTACTGGAATAGTTGGCCAAACATTTAAAAATTTTGTACCCATCGAGCCGAGGTATATGTGAATGTGTTGTTTTTCTTGTTTTACATGGCATTGTTGTATTTTCCATACAGGCAACTAAAGGCAACTGAAACGAATTTTGTTTAATTTCAGGCAACTAGTGTCTACATGTGTACGGGACTCATGTTCATGGGTCTGGGGCTCACAGCCCTGGACCTGGGACTCGTAGTTTTGCTGGTTGTTGTGAGTCCAAGGACTCACTACAGCCTTTTTTTAGATGGATCACTGTTCCATCGGAAGCAAGGCCGGAGGTCGAGTGTGCAAGGATTACGGTCAAGATTTTTGTAGACTTGACGGACAGGACTTAAAGTTGCAAGAGTAAAGGAAGACAATATTTCTTTTTGATATTTTCGTATTATTGTTAAAAGAAAATCTAGAACGTAAACAACACCACAATTTCGTACACAAAATGTGATTTTGTTGGATTATGCAGTCAAAAATGTCATACTTTATAGGGGGTGGGTCATATAATTTTCAACCTTCATTTTGTGGTTGGTCACCCAGTGGAAGGGGTGGGTTATGCGTCTTTTATCCATCACATTTTCAAATGCTCCCTCCTCCATATACTTTTTGACCAGTCCCTAAAACTTGCAGTATACAAATCCAGTCACAGACAAAAGTCAAGCTATACTTCAAGCATTCAAACTACACCTGGCAAAGCAAGCATCTGAATCGACAAAAACCCCGCCTGTCAACAAGCCAACCAACCAGGTCACAAGTGACCATAAAACACCTGACCAAACATACAAAATACAAATGTAAATCCATGAGGTGTCTCAGCCTCTCGCACTAACATGTTACTCTAACATTGTGCCACCCAAAACGAGACTGCATACTTCACATTTACCCAGTATGTGCCCGCCATTTTGCCATCAGAGTATCAATGAAGATGCTTCGAATTTCAAGACCTACCGAGCTATAGCTTAGATATGGATTGTGTATCAAAGATATAACATCCTGTGGTGGTCTGCTGTTTCTCATGTTAATTTGCTAAGCTTATTTCAAGGCAATAAGAAAAGTAAAGTCTGACGCGAAATCACTTCACTTTCAGTCTTCCAAATATGAATTTTTTTCTTCTCCGCGCAATTATCGACCATTACGGTATTTCGTGACATTAGATGTTGTTCACACTTTCTTGCCCTTGCCGTTCTCTGAAAAGCACTCGTCATTTTGTTTCGATTTTCTTCCATTTGACTCGAGGTTAACGAGTTAACACACTTCGCAACGTGGATTTAGGTCTAACCCGCTGTTAAAGTCATCGCCAGCTGTAAAGCAGCTTCGACGAACAAAATTAATGTGTGGTGAAATTTCAAATTAGATGCACTTAACCTTCGAACAACTGGGCCCTGGAGTACCAGGCCATAGCTCTGAATATGACGTAATTTGATATTTAAAGACATTTTCTGGTGCAGAGGATGCAATGATAATAATAATAATGATGATGATGATGATGATGGTAATAGTAATGATAATAGTAGTAATAATAATAATAGTAATAATAGTAACAATAATAATGATAATGATAATAATCATAATCATAATCATAATAATGTATTCAATTATTATTAAATTAGGATTGCGATGAAAACGCATTTGGTGTTTATAAAGAAAGATAACGCAACTTTTCAGATACTTACTCTAGCGTTTTATGGGGACTTCTTCAGGGAAACATTCAAGTCATACTCGTCACATTTTCAGCACTTAATCTACTTACCGAAACATCATCTGAGCAGCTGTTCACGTATTCTTGTACATCAACACCAATATCAGCACAATGTTTTCCAACTTTACTGTTTTTTATCTTCTCAGTACAGTAGCGAGTGGCATTCTCCTTTGGAGCAGGCAGGGCCCTTTTAAAGCGGACTTGAGTGTCAGACGGATGTGGAGTTTTAAATAAGTCGTAATCTTCGTCTGTTAAATCATCTGAGTAACGCACGTCCCTCTTCCGTGAAAGATTACACAAATTGTATGGGGTCATTCCGAACCGAAGGAAAGATGGAACGAAGGATGCCCTTACTGCATTGCTCTCGTCACATACATCATCTTCGCAGGGACATACTGATGAATAACTTGCCTTGGTGTCATTTATTTTTTCTGGCAGAACATCAAAAAGACTCTCTTTGGGAGTTTTTCTATCACATTACAAGAGAAACAAAAATATCATTATTAAAGTTTTAAATCGTTTTGATAATAGCAGTTTTATATCATTTCAAATGGGAAAACATCAGACATTTTATTATTTTACTATTTTAATTAGTATGCACTTTCAAAGGAGCGGGACGTTAATTTCATGAGTCGAGCTCTTAGCACTTTTATACCTCCCACAGTGTCTAGTGTCCGGAATGGAACGCAAGTGTGATCCTAAGTTGATTGGGAAATTAGATTGCGGAGCATTGCCACATACTTAAGAAAATTTGTAACCCGTCAAGCGAAATAACACTAAATAACAAAAATCGTCCGTTACGTGATTGTCCATCCGCCCGTTTGCCCGTGCGTACGTACGTATGCGCGCACGTCACTTGTGCAAGAATACAAATTGTATGGGGTCATTCCGAACCGAAGGAAAGATGGAACGAAGGAGCAATTCTCTAGGCAAGTAAAGCAAAGTTGGAAATGACAATTTTTAACCCCCCTTCATTTTTTGTGTGGAGGTGGGTTAACTGGGGGGATGAAGAAAAACAGCCATATTTGGATCGGCAGGTGTGTCGTTGCCATGGTAACCGCACTTGATCACGTCGGCCTGAGGTCTATGTTTTCACCAAAAAATTCACTCTCAAGAAGTAAAAATCAACGAGCCTGGTTCTCGGGTGCATGTGAGCCAATTCAAATGAAATTCATACAGATGGTAGAACCACTCTCCCAGTTTATAAAATTTGCCGTTAAAGTATTTTGGGTTTTATATTCAAGAAGACAATGCTCGTCCTACTATGTTGCCTGTCAGTCATTTTAACAAGCAGGAAAAACAAGCACAACCATATTCGTAATTTCTCCGAAAGTACTCGTTCCCAAAAATCCAAATTAGCAGCAGAGCTTACATAGATATTGAAGTTTCTAAATATCATAAAATCTATTTGGGGAAAATAATATTCTGGCCATGGGTGTTGAAGACATCCTAAGCAAGTTGCAAAAAATTGCAAAATTGGAAATTTTGAGGGCTCTAGTATTTGGCTCAATCAGGCTTTAGATAGAGAATATCAGCTTCAGAAGTATTTTCTATCATCTTATCTGTAGACCAGACATGAGTGAGCGGCCATAACACTACTACAGTCAAGATCATCAATCAAACAACCCGCCGAAAGAATCATGTCGTGAAAGTAACTCATCAACAATGTCATATTCATTGGCCATAACACTTCTACAGTCACGATCATTAATCGAACAACCCGTCGAGAGAATCATGTCGCGAAAGTAACTGATCAGTAATATCATATTCATTGGCCATGCATAACATTATTCGCCACCTGCCCCTTGATTGTGAAACAGCAAACCCATTAAAAAGTTGACACAATTTGTCACCTAAAATTGTCATGACAAGACTCACAAGCATTTAATCCCAATATTTGTAAAGAAAATACAACCTCGGTAGTGTGCTACGCTGCCATGCAATTGTAGTTACTCTGGATGCAACCATAAGGTAAAAGGAAAAGGAAACCTCATAATTACTTTCTTCACGGCCAAAATGTTACGTTGCCATGGTAGAAAGTCTTAACTATCCACAGTCATCGCAGAGCGAACTAGCCCAGACATTCAACCGCAAAATACGCGTTTGCAGTCCTCGTTTGAGGCATTAGTCGAGCAAGGGAACTCTACACATTTTTCAAACTTAAATATCTCCGGAACTAATACAGATATTTGCAAACGGTAAACTAAGTTTTTAATCTTTCGTTGAATTCTATGTGATTCACGTAAAAATTCAAGGGGTGAAAATTTGATCAAAGTAGCACTTTTATTGTAAATCGTGATGACTTCAATATCAAGTGCTAAGGTAAATAAAATAACCTGGGCGTTATTCAGACTAATCAGAGTGAAAGTCTGCGCTCCGGTTAGCGGGAATGGAATTCCGGTTAGCCTGAACTATAACTGCGTTTTCATGAGCAGTTTTTTCAGGTCGCTAACGAGTGACAACCGGATATCCCGTGGAAACGGTTACTTTTCCAACAGTTAAGCGAGTCGGCAAACTTCAATGGAATTCTTATTAAATTTCAGCCACCAAACCAGGTAGGTTAAGCGAGTTGGGAATAAGTTTCGGCCAATGACGAGTCGCTTGCTGTTATTCATCAGAGAGTGCCAACCAGATGCATCGTGTAAAATGACGTCAACTATAACTACATTTGTGAAAGAACGCTGTTTATATGCTATTTCTTTTTCAGTCGTCCACTCGTTGGTTCATTCATTACTTTACCTGTAGTCTCCTCTCCTTCGCTCCTTTTTTTACCTCATGGTATGTACTTCATACCATGAGGTATAGTGATGGTTGGATTAGTCACTTCATTTCCGTTAAACAATTAGTTTATGCATTAAATCCGCATTAAACATGAATTAAACACGTTTCCCCCTGTCCCCCATACTAGGTTTGGTTTTGTTCACAAAGTCGTGTTATTGTTTATGTTCGTATACGTGAGGGGAGGGTGTGGGACAAAGGTGGCAGTACGTGTTTACAAAATGGCGACTGTTGTGTCGAACCCGACGCAAAAATTGTCAAGGCGAGTTTTCCTTCCTTTGGCTCCATCTTTGATCAAAGTACACTTTTGA